ATTTATCCCTTCCCACCCGTTTCCCCCCTTCCCTCCCCTGGTAACCATAAGTTTGTTATCTATGTCTATGAGTCTGTTTCCATTTTATAAATAAATTCATTTGTCTTTTTTTTAGATTCCACATATAAGTGATATCATATGATATTTTTCTTTCTCTTTCTGGTTTCACTTAGAGTGACAATCTCCAGATTCATACATGTTGCTGCAAGTAGCATTATTGTATTATTTTTTTATGTACGGCCAGGATATTTTTGAGTAAATTAAACAAAATACTGACCCTAGTAAAGTGTGGGAGTGGATCATGGAGCTTCACCTCCCCTCTCAGCTGAGCTCATCACCTGCGGCATCTCCTGTAGCCTGGAGTTGGGTGCCCAGCCTGCAGGAGACAAAGACTCTGGTTTGGGTAAGGTGAGAAGATTTGGGGATGAAAAGGATCATCTAGAAGGATTTGAGGGTGAAAATTTGGAAAACAAAACTGAGCAGAGGAGAAAGCTTAGAAAGAAGTAGCATTCAATTAGTTCCTCAGGGTTTTATTAAAACTCTTTATGATGAGAAGTCCCCATGGCTTAAATTTACTAAGATATTGTCTAAAAAAGACTTGAAAGATTTTTTTGTGTGGATAAGACTGACGGATTAAAAAAAATAATCATTGTTCCTTCAGGTTGGCGAAACAGAGACCAGGCTGGAATGTTTGCTAAACAATAATAAGAACTCGGATTTCTGTGCGCCTCTGACCTCCTTTGACTGGAATGAGGTGGATCCTTATCTTTTAGGTAAAGGCATGAGGGAGTGTGTATTCCATTTTAAAGAAGCAGAGAAACATTTTTCTCAGATATAACACTGGGCCAGTTTTCAACCAGGGGCCCAGGTCATGCAGCATCCTAAAATGGGGCCAAGTGGGAAAGAGGCTAAATATGGAATGTGGTTATCAATTCCTTATATAGAATCGAGCTTCCCTTACGCGGATACCTTGTCTCTCCAGTCAGAGTCTAAGGCCCTGGGGTACAGATTGAACACTTGACTCTTTGGGGCTCTCCTGGTACCCTCCCTGTACTCAGGAAGTATCTGCGGCATATTGTCTCCTGGGCGGAACAGATGAATAGGCACAAGGAAGGAAGCCTGCATGGGAACCTCACTCCTGTCAGCCACTGACTTGCACTGGTTGTTTCCAGGTACCTCCAGCATTGACACGACCTGTACCATCTGGGGGCTGGAGACAGGGCAGGTATTGGGGCGAGTGAATCTCGTGTCTGGCCATGTGAAGACCCAGCTGATCGCCCATGACAAAGAGGTAAGGGTGCTGTTCCACAGCTGCTTTCTCTGCCTTCCCTGTGAGGTCAGACTGTTCTCTCACTGTTCTGCAAATGATGTGGAAAATCATAACATAATGCTGACGTCTTCTTGGCTAAATTGAAAGTAGTAATGTGTCAAAACAGTGGAAAACAACACTGTTGTAAATGAGTGCATTTTTTGAGCTGATATAAACAACGTATTCTACAGTCTATTTTTTTCTTTTTGTGCCAGAGATTGCTGTTTTTTAATAACGAAATCTCTTATAGACAAAATTGGACCTGATGTGATTAAAAAATAATCTTACACTTGTCTCAAATTTTTTTTTTTTTTCGAAAACAGGGTGTCAGGAAGAGGGAAAACTTCCTGGCAGACAAACCTGATTCATCATTTTATCTCTAAACTTGTTTTATGAAATTCTAGTATGTTCTCTTAATACTTACACTTTTAGTACTCTTTGGAGTTGAATGTGGTTTATTTTGATAGTGATGTTTCTTCTATGTTTATTGGACAAGCCGAGGGGAACTATTTGTAATTATCTTAATCAAAGCATTCTTCTGAGTGATTTTGGAAAATGATCACAAATCTTTAACTTCTAGAACATGCTGGTACTCTACCAGCAAAATTACAGGAAATTTCCTACAGAGAGTGTTTCTTTTTCTACCTCACCCTGCATAGTGAGGAGTATTAATGTCTGTACAGATTCGTTGACCTTAGGTCAGAAACTTGAGGGTGTCCACAGAATGGGAGGTTGGTAACCAGGTTATCATTCTTAGTACGTGGTTGTTCTTTGGCTTTCTGTGCTCCCGATGGTAAGGTCTGTTACTAGTCTGCTGAACTTGGCTGCTGTAAACCAAGGGGCAAAGGAAGAGTTTGCCCTGCAGAGAAGACCAGTAAGAAAGCTCTGGAAACCCTCTTGGCATCGAGTGGAACAGGTTGCTACATTTTAGTTATGTGACAACTTAACCTGCTGTTCTGTCAGGGTCCAACCCAGAAAACTAGAGCTACTCTGAATATTTAAACTGAGGGGATTTAATACAGGAGATTGCTCACAGATGATGGTAGAGTGAGAAGCCACACCATGAGGCAACAGTGAGGTGATCCAGAGAGCAGGAGCAGCAGGAACCTGCCACTGCTGGAAGGCCAGAGGGGCCAATGGAGGAGGCAGGGTTCCTGGAGCCCAGGGGCTGGGATTACTTGGCAAAAGCTAGAGCCATGGAGGGGGCACAGCCATTGCCAGAGAAGCTTCCAGAAACAGAGAGAGGAGAAATCCCTTAGCTTCTCCCTACCAGAGGGAAGGGCCAGGAATGGATGTTAACAGCAAACAGGCCCTGGACCAACACCCTGGCCTTGAAGGAATGAGCCTAAGGATGGTCGCCCTGAGAGAAACAGTGGGACCTCCTGGCACTTTTGATTTTTTCCAGCCACCTCTTTCTGTCAAAGTAAAGACTTGGTCAGGGGCTCCTGTTGCTGCCTGGTGGGTTGGTGCAGAAGAGGGTAGCATATATCTGGGAGTTGTCACCCTCCCTTGGCTTATGAGGAAATACACAAGTGGCGCACAGAGGAAGGAGCAGCAAAGCTGAGAGAGCTTTACACACTCGGCCATGTTGCCTGTGGACTCCTTATGGCTTAGTGATGCTGCCGTGGTGCCCCGTTCCTGGGAGTTACTGAGAGCCAGCCCCTGGGGTGCACATACTGATAGACACGCCCCAGCCCTCATGTAGCTGGTCAGTGCTGGACAGGGCCTTGGTCTGTCAGGCCTCCTTGTGATGACCGGCCCAAGTCCCCTCTGAACTACTCCTAATTCTTACTGTAGAAAGAGAAGTGTGATTCCCTCATACTGAGCCAGAGGAAAAGGAATTTATGAGGCTGAGTAGAAACAGATGCTTGCTTGTCAGGGTCCCTTAGTAGATGGAACCTCAAGAAGGCTGGAGCCATGGTTTGAGTGAGAGGTTCCACTCATGTCTTGCTGGAAGTCAGCTGTTTTGTCCTTGACCCCAGAAGATGGATTTTGTTTGGCATTTTGTTTTTCTTTTTCAGTTTCTCTCTGTCTCCCTGTGTCTGGCTCTGGCTTTGTCTGTCTCTCCTCGTCCCTTTCTCTGAAGCTCCCTGCCTCTGCTTTCTCATAGATGTTAGTGGTGTGCAATGTTTGCAGCAAGTAATAAATGCAGAAAACTGTGATTCAAAACCTAAATTGACTCACTAATGAACACAAACCAACCAGGAGAAGTAATAGCATGTCCTAGGACGAGAGAGCGATTATTAAAACCTCTTTGTAAATGTAGGAACACCTGAGCCTCCTGTGATTCAGAACTGCGGCTACCTGTTTCTTGCAAGAGTCTCAGGTCCAGATTTTACCGCACAACCAGCTTGTCTGCTATTAAGTGGCCACAGGAGGGCGGCCTCCACCTATCAAATCGATGATCTTGGCCTTGATGTGGTCATGGATCTGCCTCTGATTGCACACAAATGAAAGCCACCAAGGCCCAGGAGATAACCAACTTGATCTCTGACAGGGTGGTGGGAAACAGCCACTGGCTCTGGCTTCGCTGGGCCTGTCCAAGCGTACAGAACACGTGCTCAGAGTCACTGTGCTCTGCTGGTCAGCAGGGTGTGTGCTCTTCCATCATGGGGGCTGGAAGAAGACTTGGAACACAGGAATATGAGAAGCAGCCAGCCAATTTCCATAGCAGAGTGACCTTCACTCTTTGGAAAGTCATTGATGTTAGCGCTCTCAGGCTCTAGTCTTCACAGGCGCTGTTTGGCTTTATTTACCTCCTTCTGTGTCATGAGCGGGGATTTAGATGCACTGGGGATGGCAGATTTCCCTGCTACAGGAAAGGGCAGTGATGGATCTAAATCTGACTAAAGCTTCTTATTCACCAACAGGTCTATGATATTGCGTTTAGCCGGGCTGGGGGTGGCAGGGACATGTTTGCCTCTGTGGGTGCCGATGGCTCGGTACGGATGTTTGACCTCCGTCATCTAGAACACAGCACCATCATTTACGAAGACCCGCAGCATCACCCACTGCTTCGCCTCTGCTGGAACAAGCAGGACCCCAACTACCTGGCCACCATGGCCATGGATGGAATGGAGGTGAGTACTTCAGGTGAACAGAGACTCTGCCGCTCAGCTCCGGCACTGCTTAGTGCATCTGGAAGACTGGTTCTCAGTGGGGGGGCCGTTTTCTCCCCAGAGGATTTTTGGAAATATCTGGAGATATTTCCAGCGGGGAAGGGGAAGTGGGCAGTGCTACTGGTATCTGGTGGGTGGAGGCCAGGGATGCTCCTACACATCCTTGGTGCTTAGGACCACTCCCCACAACACAGAATTATCCAACCCAAGGTGTCAATGGTGCTGAAATTGAAATAACCTGATCTAGAACAAGGACTGTGTGTTTAAGAACTTTTAATACTTGGAGAGTTGGAGTCAGAGCCAAGAAAAGCAGTATCTAAAAAAGTAAACCAAATCATACATGCTTCTGGTGCTGAGTAAAGAAACAGGCAGTTTACCCCGCTGTAGTCTGAATAGATTCTTCCAGCTTTAATGAACAGACATGGAAATGGCAACTCTCTGAAGCCTGTTACTTGATGAAAGTGGTAAATTGTGGATGGAGATGATGTAGTGATTAATTTTATTTTGATGAAACCAGTACCTCAGGCTGCTTACATTTCAAATTCTGCTTTGGGGATCAGGGGGAGAGGGCTCTCATCCTGCGCAGCTCAGCGTGCAAAGAATTCTTAGCACAGGCATCTAATGGGGCTTGGTGAATTATACAAAATTGTTTTACCCATTCCCGCTTCTCCCCTTCTTTATCAGCCTAAAGGTCCTATGTTGCTCATGACATAGACTATAAACTACCTAGGTCTGTGTTTTCTTTTTCCTCAATCCTGTAGATACTTTTGGGACCGAGACCCTCTTTCTCTTAAGAATCTTTAAATCTACAAATTAACAAGTTATACTTAAATTTTTTTTCTTATGTTTTCTTTCTATCATACCCTGAAGTTTCTGGGCCTTTTTCTTGTTATTTCCTCAGGTAGTGATTCTGGACGTCCGAGTTCCCTGCACACCTGTCGCCAGGTTAAACAACCACCGAGCATGTGTCAACGGCATTGCTTGGGCCCCACATTCATCGTGTCATATCTGTACTGCAGGTAATTGCTGGTGGGGGAGTAATGGAAGGGAGAGGTAAGATCTATCTCCTCTTGTCTCTTTAGAATTCTAATGCTTACTCTGTTCCAAGGATAGTTTGAGAGATTTACACAAATAACTCCATTGAGAGCCTCCCTACACTTGCAAAATTGAAGCAGTCCAGATTTCCAGATGATCTTGTAACCTTCAGTGGTATCAGGGCATCTGTATACTCTTTACATTGTGTATCAGTTGCAGGCTTGTGCTGCATACTGTGCGGCTCTGAAATCTAGATTGGCACAGAGGACTCATCCAAGCATATGGAGAAGCAGGCAGTCTCTCTTGGATGTAACTGAGTCTTTGGGACTGTCCCCTGGGAGATGTCAAAAGCACATACCCCTTGCACTGAGCTCTGGGTGCGTTGAAGGGCGCTGCATAGCCTGGCCTGGTTAGTGGTGTGTGACTTGTTCCCATTTCTCCATTTGTCAGACCAAGAAGAGTACCCCTTAAAAATATGCTGGCCATCTAGGAACGTCTGTTATTAAAAATTAGCATAATACAGAGCTGTATAAAACAGGAAGGTCTTCGTCTTCTCCTTCCTTTCCCATTTCCACCTCAGTCCCAGTCTGCGTAGGTGACTCTAACAATAGCTTGTGTGTCTCCTTCCATGCCTTCTTAGGTGGATCCATGCGTACACATCCCTCCTGTATGAACACTTATCCCCTGATTCTACACAGACAGGATTCCACTCTGCTCCTTATTTTTTTCAGTGCCTTGGGTTTCCTTCTAACATACTTTTCCTCTCCTCACTAATCAGTAGCATCTTCATTTCCTTGTTCATTATGGAGCCAAAGGAGCAATGTAGTTTGGTGGTGTTCTGCCATCTTAGCATTCATTTGAAAGGCATGAAGCTTTTCCTGTTTGGGGCCCTCTGCTCATGCCTATCTGCCTCATTGAGGAGCAGTTAGAGGCCCGCTGCCTCCCTCTGTACCTCAGGTTGTAGCCTGACTTCTTCACTGTGGCCCTTTTTCCCAGGGGTGCAGGTCGGCAGGGTGGGAGGGGGAAACAGAGGGAAAGGAGAGCGTGCTGGCCCACCCTGCAGAAGCCCATCTGCAGCTTCCGGCGGCTGCCTCTGCTGGACCCGCTGCTGTTGTGTGCACTGCACCTGCCCCGAGTCCTGCCAGCTGAAGGAGCTGTTGCTGAAGAGCATGCTCGGTTGAGCTCGTTGAGGAAGAGGGACTTCGAGCTTTAGAAGTGCTGGGTGTTCAAAACAAGCCCCCAGACCTCCTGACGCGGGTTGTCCCCTGGAGAGCACCTCACACCCTTGCCCAGGTTATGAGGCCATGGGAGGAGGCCTGTTAGGGTTTAGTTCATTCGGACCCCTATGTATCAGAGATGGGCTTTCACATCAGGTTGGCTGGTGGGACTAGAGGGCACGGTGGTATTGAAGGCCACTGCCTTTTTCTTTCTCTTAAATTAAGAACTCCTTATTTTGATCATGAAAGTAATATGACCACCACATACAGGTCACTCAGGAACTAGAAAGAAGTAAACGTAACTCATAACCTGGTCGCCCTGCCAGTGCCACTGTTCTCACGTTGACAGGTTTCCTTCCAGACACTTTTCACGTGCTTACATATACTTTTAGGGTGATTACCCTCTTTCTGGTGTTTCCCAGGGCCCTTTTCTTGGGCACACGTCCACACGGCACTTACCTCATTATCTGTGTAACATGTCGTTGATGTATAAGTAAAACAGGGGGTGGGGATCCCATTAAGTAACTGAATCATCAGAGAGAGACCTTTAATCACTGAAGTACTTTGAGTGGCTGAAAATGACACGTTTGGGGTCATTTTTATCCCATCCCGTCTTCTTTTCCTGATGCCCGCCCCGGATGAGAGGTGCCCATCTAAGTCCCTTCTGCCGAGCTCGCTCTGCTGCAGTGAATGGAGCCCTGAGAGTCAGAGGCCATGCTTTGCGTCCCGACTCTGCCGCTCACAGATCACATAGATCTGTGGTTTGGGGCAGGCGCTTCAACATTTCTGCATCTCAGTTTCCTCATCTATAAAATGGGGGCTTAAAATAAAACCTCCCTCACTGGGGTTTTGGTGAACAGATGCTTTGTATACTGTGACACACACACACATACGCCAACCCCCCCAACCCACTCATCCAAAAATGCAGGGCTCAGTATCCTCACTGCCTGAGTCGTGAGCTTACTTGCTGGCTTTTCGTGTCCCTAGCGGATGATCATCAGGCTCTCATCTGGGATATCCAGCAAATGCCCCGGGCCATCGAGGACCCTATCCTGGCCTACACAGCCGAGGGAGAGATCAACAACGTGCAGTGGGCGTCTACCCAGCCTGACTGGATTGCCATCTGCTACAACAACTGCTTGGAGATACTCAGAGTGTAGAGTTGGTGGCGCCATGCCCATGGGGCAGGGGCTTGTGTGTTTCCGCCTCTGTCCCACCCCCAAAGTAAGAAGAAACGTGTTTCCGGTGGCCAGTATGTCTTTCATTGCTTTGCACCCACCGTTACCAGAAGCTGCTCCTGGAGTTCCTGGCCAGTCACCCCACTGCCCTCTGTGCCGGGCTCAGTGCTGTGTGGCGCCTTCTCAGCCCAGGGCTGAGTTTTAAGATGTTCTCTCCTTTCTTCTTCTCCTTTGGTTCCTCAATTAAAAATCTCTGTATATTTGTTTGTCAGCCGTTGTGTTCATGAGCTTTGTAGGCACTGGCTGTGTTTTGTGTTCATCTGTCCAGATGTCTCTGCCTGTCTGTCTGCTGCCCGAGGCAGCAGTCTGTGTCCCTGTCCATGTTAGCACTTAAGTGGGAACAAATAGCAATTTGAAGTTGTCTTTCTTCCTGTTATCAATGTCTTTAGCAAATTTCAACTTTGTATATTTTTTATCTATCAGGCTAATTTTTTTACAAGAAGAATTTTACTCCCTGGTCTCTTCCTTTGTTTCATCGCCCTCCCTATTAGCACCTTCCTCTCTTCCCTCCAAGCCTGGATCTGGCCCCAGGCCCTTGACCCCTTGAGCAGTTTGCCTTCTTGAATCACTGCCTGAGCGGAACGTACCTGATCGGGAGTCCCAAACCGCCTTGGTGCTCTGAAGTCGGCCAACTCTCACACCTTTTCTCAGCCTGGCTCTTGTCAAGGGCATTCTGGGCTCCAAAACAGATGTGGGAAGCCTTCTGTTACTCCCTGAAGTACCTCTGTCAAAGACCCCCGGACCTACTGGGCACGAGTTAGAGCTGAGCTGGACTGGCTGACGGGGTGCCTGACTGAGGAACAGTTGCAGGAAAGCTGAGCTTAGAGCACGTTTCCAGTACCTAGTTTAGGAGTCTGTCTTGCCCTCCAGATGTAAGCCCTGACCATTCTCTTTCATGTCTTGAATGACAGACAAGAATGATGTATAAAGTGAACTTCAGTATCTGTTTGTGTAGTTGACTGTGACTGGTGGTGTACTGGCCGTGCGCTTTGTGTAGACCGCTGTGAGCGGAGAGAGCCCTGCTTGAGAGGCGCACAATCTGAGCATCCAGTCTAGACTGAACAAGGTCTTTTAGAGTGTGAGCGGCTGTCTGCTCTTGCACAGGATGGACTAATAGGCTGTGATGATCCCAGGCCGTCAGTTAAATAGGTAGCAAGAAAGCATCAGGGCCCAGGGTCAGCCAGTTAAGAGCCCCACAAACCCCTGTGAGCCGCCCTGTCCCCAGGTGAGGTTCTGAGCAGTATTGGACTTGTGGGCTGCGGGTGTCTGTTTTCCGTTACACAAACAAGTTCCGTGATGGGGGCTTTTGCATGTGATTGGGGTAGTAGGTGAGTCCTTGGGCAGGCAGAGTTTGGGACATGCTCAGAGTTTGGGGGGATAATTGGTTCGACGTGCTCTGCCAGGTCCCCTCTTGAGTGGAGCATCCGAGAGTAGAGAGAAGCAGACTTGAAGTCCAGGGTTTTGTCCACTTGGACTCTCACCTGCTCTTGAGAAACAAAGCACTTAGCTTTGTTCTTCTGGGCCCTTAAACTCTCTTAGTTGAGTCTTCCTTTTCAAAAGTAGATGTATTTGTATCCCCAAAGTCAGAGCTCTTTGCTTTAATACACAGGGGCTTATCCCAAAGAAAAAGGCTCTTTTTTAAGTCAGGGTATTTCCCCTTCTACCTTTATGCTTTCCTCTGATTTGGGGGCTCTTCGGCCAGCTGTCTGTTGGAGGTCAGCTCTCCTGCATTTACCACCACGTTTGTACTGCACTGTTTGGAGATGTGACGCAAACAATTCTTGGTCGGAACCATCCTGTGTTTGTCATTGTGTTTGGTGGTTCCAGGGTCCTTCTCTCAAGGGTAGCAAGTCTAAATTGAATGTTTCTTGCTCTAGGAGGCCATCAGTACCTTTCTGTGGAAAAGGGTCTGAAATGGATGTCAGAGTGGTAGAGAGGGCTGGTCCCGTTGGGGCAGTGCTTAATTACACTGAGTTCTGAGTTAAGATTCATTTCAGCACTTTCCCTGGTCTGAGTGGTGAGATTTGTCAACTGGAACTTGAAAACAACTTGGAGAAAACATTAGTTAATAGTAATTGGGGTATATTTGGATAAAGTTGTCATTCACTCTGGAAACCAACATTTTTTTTGTTTGTTTTTTGTTTTCCCTTGCCCTGTGGGCTCCCAGCCCCATCACCCTCCTTAGGCCCGCAATGTGGTCCTCTTCCTCCTGACATCCCACATGGGCCCAGTCTCCCTAAGCAAACACACACTCACACACTCTCACACACACACTCAGAGTTACTGGGATGCTGGTATTTTGAAGTCCTGGCTCTCTTACCCTCCCCTTATGCTGTGGGCCAGATGGCCTCGTGGCTGAGGAGGGGATTTCTGTGGTCTCAGGATTTGGAAAGCCTCTTGGTCAGCTGTGCTCCAGGAAGCAGAAATCCGTTGTAGTTTCCAAAGCAAGTGTTTGTTGGATTCATTTAGGTTCTCAGATTGGCAGCCAGAGAGAATGGGTGGGAGGCTCTGCGCCTGCTCCCTTTGAGTGCCAGCCAAGCAGCTGCCCCACCGCACTGGAAAGACCTCGGTGGCACCTCAGGGCGCTGGCTCTCCTGGCGGTGGCCCTTCAACTTGCTCTTGTCCCCCCCTCCCCCCAGCAGGAGCTGCCTTTGTTTCCTGTCTGCTCTGAGAGGAGGGGGAGGTGCTGAATAAATTAGGCCTCAGGTTCCCCGTCAGGGAGCTGGTGAATGGGTCCAAGTCCTTCTCCTTCAAGAGCTTGAGTGTTTACACCCAGAAGAGTGGGGACCTTCTCTTTCCAGGGAGGAACAAGGCTGCAAGATGAGGACTTGAAGAGGGAAGATATTTGATAACCTGTGAGAATTTCTTATTGAACAGGATTGGCTCTTAGAGAACTGATTGAGATTTGGGAAGAAACAGAAAAAGTTGAGACAACTACAAGTTATTGATGATAGCTGTGGCTGGAATTTTAGGAGATTTAGGATGCAGGAGAAAATCAGTGGTAACAAAGGAGAAGATAGCCGAGAGCAGTAAAGGTATGAGGTGGAGAAGCATTCAGACTGTCCGTTGTGTGGCTGTGGAGTGAGCCTGGCCCACGGCTGGCGTGGACCGTTCATCTGGTGTCTGACACTAGGTAACTGTGGGGCCAGGATGACAGCTCTGGGCAGAGGGGCCCCTTCCTGCTGCAGTGCAGCATTGGTGACGTTCGGTGGTAGAAATCTGCAGGTGTTGGCAATCCCTTGATTCTTCTGGACTGTGGCTTTTCTTGGTTGTAGGTTTGTAGAGAGCAGAAGCAACGGTTGTAAACAGTCATGCTGACTTTTCCCCACCTCCCTTTTCTCTTTCTCTTACCTTCCTACCCCTTTTTCCCTACTGCAGCCTGAGCCTTGAATTCCTAGGCTGTAAGGTATGTAGGAGCTGCAGGGCTTACCTACCATGGGAGGGCGAGCCCAGTACCATCCCTCCGCCTTCCCCAGTTTGAGAATGTGGCAACTCCTTCTATTACCTGGCTTGGGCTTAAGGAGACCGTTAAAGGAGAAGCCCTGAAGCAGACTCTTCCCTTTACTGTCTGCACTCCAGGATGAGGAAGGAGGGTCATGCTTGGCATTTAAATTGGGTTTTCCCCGGCAGCAAAGCTGAGCTGAGCAGTCACTGCGAACCCGGGCCAGGCTCTCCAAGACTGTCACCCATCTCGCCCATCTGCATCCTCTTCTCCCACCATTGTCATTGCTGCTAATGGTCAAAGTCAAATATGTGGCCACATGAGATGGGCCAGCTCCTCTCAGGCTACTTTATGGATGTGACTTTGTAAGTATAGAGACATGCAGGTGCCTTCCCAGGAGGCTTGGACTGGTGTATCAAACCAGAAACAGATAAGCTAATGAAAGTGTGAACTCAAGAGGAACGATGTTGGCAGTCTGTGTAACAGCTGGAAAACTTAACTAGTACCCGCCTTTAGGACAACCCAGTGAATAAGATCTTGTGATATCTGCTATTTAAAAGAAATGTTCTCACCTTGGGTTGACTGTGGTAATACAGTGTGTTATAAACTTGTGCAGCTAAAGCTTTGACTTGCTTGAGTCAAATTTGAATCAATTTGCTTTGGTTCCTGTGTATTTTATGACCCCTCTGTCAGTGACTTTCCATCCTTCCTCCCTCGAGTGTGAATTTGTAGCATGATTGTACACATCTCTGTGTAGAAAATGGAGGTTTCTTGTTCTCTGAAATGTTAAGCTCTAGCCTATCAGTTTCTGTCCCCTTTAGCCTAGTGTGTCTGAACTTAATTTGTTATATATTTAAACTTTTCCTCTATATTATAGGTTTCGTGGCATCCCGTGATCAGGTGGAGAGGAAGCTGCCCCTTTCAGAACTGTACTGTAGCCATTTTTCTTTTTAAAACATTATTTTCACAGGACTGATTATACACAGGGCTTGTAATAAAATTTTAACACTGTGATGTGAAACCACGATGGTAAATCTCCATTGAAGGCTACTTCAAAGGCACCTGAAAGTGGAGTGTTATATCTATGACTTTATTTCTTGCTTCCTGAGTATATTAAACCTAATTTTCACCCTTTCATTCTGTTTCAGCCTCCTGTATAAGAAGTACCATATTTTCTGCCCATCATACTTTGTAATAAAACTTGAACATGTAGAGACTGACTGAATTTCTTCTCGTGATGAATTCAGTTCTTCCCATTCTGCCACTGTGGTCACATTCCAGAGACACTGGCAGGGAATCAGACTCCACCCTAGCCCATCACACTCATCACCTTTAACAAAACACAGAGTACCTGCTCTATGCCGGGGGCCATGATTCCCAATTTAATTGATATTTAATATCAAGTTTAAATATCTGCCAGAAGAGACAGCCACATAAACAAACACTGGCAGCACTGTGCAGTAATGGATGTGTTCAGGGTTACTGGTGGCCCTGAGGAGGAGGCCATCACCCTTGCCAGGGTAGGAGTCAACAGAGGTCAGGGAAAATCTCACCAAAGGAAGGTTGGTTGAACTGGGGTTTGAAGGCTGAGTTGGAGTTCTCTGGGAATAAAGACATTTGAGGTAGAGAGAACATCCATGTACAAATCTATAGAGGCAAGAAAGATTGTGATCCTATTCAGAGAATCATACATTGACATGGGGTTTTGTATGGAGGATGGTGGGAAGTGTGGCGAGAGGCGAGCAGTACCAGAGCAGGCTGTCTTTGTGCTTTGCAGAGAGGCCAGACCTTACTCCTGTATGAGACTTAGAAAATTTAAATAGAGGGAGGTCATGCTCAAAATTGCATTTTAGGAGGCAATGAAGAAAATGTGTCTGAGTCGGGGGGTGAGATGGGGAGTCACTACACCTATTATACTAGTCAAGGTAAGAAAAAGTGAAAGCTTGAACTAAAGCAGGAGCAGCAGGGAAGGAGGGTGGGGCACAACCGAAGAGACTTACTAAAGGACGGGATAATCAGGATTCAGTAATCTACTGCCTGGGAAGGATGACCGAGAAACTCTCAGATCCTGTGGGTCAGGACACCAGGCTCTGATGGCTGACTAGAGTTTCCAAGTCCAAGCTGGCTTCTGCAGCCTGTGCCCCAACGTGATAGGATGGAGAAGTTCTATTCCCATTGCTATTCAAATGTGAGTCCTGGATGAATACTCCGTTTATTTTCATTCTGGGCTCATGTGAAGCCATTTCAAAGGAAGAGAAGAAAGGCAAACTGTGATGGCTTCAGTGAGCCAGTATTTAGTAAGTGCCTGCCGCTGCGTCAGAGGACGTGGAGCTGGCGGTGGCCGTGAGTCTGCAGAGAAGTATGTGGTATGAGAGTTGAAACTTTATGTGGCAAAACAAGCATCTGCTGGCTCTGTTAGAACTGTGGTCTGACAATATATATTTTATGGGAAAAGCATGATTCTCCTACTCTTTGGTTTTTAAGGGGAAAGCTGGGAGAGTAATACTAACTATTCATCTCGACAGACTGAGTTATGCTGCAGTAACAAACCCCCAAAGCTCAGAGACTGAACACAACAGAAGCTTATTTTTGGCTCACATGTAGTCCTTTGGAGGTCAGTCAGCCCACCTCCATCTTACAGCTCCATCATCTGGAACATACACCTTCCAAGGCTGCTTTGTAGAGGGAAGCCTTACTTACTTATGCCCATATCAGCCAGGTTTAGTCACGCGATTCCAACCTACTTGCAAGGAAGGTCAAGAAATGTAGTCTTCCCTTGTGCCTAGGAAGAGGAAATACAGTAGTTAATGAATAGTAATGTCTCCACCTTTCCATCAAATTAGCACAGTATCTGGAATGTAGTCTCATTCATTGAGAGCCATTCGTACTGCACACCTGTTCAAACCTAATGGAATGATGCCCTCAGCCAGTCTTTGGCATCCAAGGCTCACTGTTAGTTAAAGATTTCAATGACCCTGACAACTAGGCCTCTAGAGATGGTTCAGTCACTTGTGAATTTATCTTGAGACAGTAAATACTACCTCAGATGAGAAAGTAAAAATCTGCCCTGCCATTCTTCATAGATAAACAGACACAAGCAGAACCAGCTGCAAGGTTAACAAGAAACTGTTTCTCCCAAGCACACACTGCAACTTAAAGCATCATGTGCAATTCCCTTTTCTGAGTGACTTTTTTTTTAAGTCACTAAGAAACTTTCTTCTCTAAAATCATAGACTGTCAGAAAATTTGCGTTTTGAAATTGTGTCACTGAGAATGAAGCCTTATAGTCTTGCTTGGAAAACCTAAGTTGCTTTGACAGAGAAGCAGCCTTGATTTCCTACCCAGGTGTAGAGCTTCAGAGCAGGGGTTTCAGAACACAACATTCCACATTTAACTTTGTAGTTACCAAAGAAACTGAACCCTGGGTCCACTTCGTAGTCCAGAGTTGACGTTGACCCTCTTCATACAGCTCTGTATTCCTTTGAGTCTATCAAACTCTTATTTCAGTGAAACTTTACCTATCCTCCACTCTTCCCCATAATTCTATAATAACGATATTTTCCTTTGTTTGGTGAGGAACCCCCACCACCCCTCTGTTGTGCAGTTTCCCTTGTTGCAGTGAGTGGATAGCCTGACTTCATGGGACTATAGGTTTGTCCTGGAGTATTTAGACCAATTGGACTAGGGCAGTCTCAAACTTTGTTTTGGCCTCTACACTTATTTGCGATTCTAAATTCCCTTAATTTAACATTTATATTAGGCTGTATTTTTAAATTACAAAAAGTAATACTCTGAATGAATAGCTAATAAGCACCTGAAAAGGTGCTCAACATCATTGGTCATTTGGGAAATACAAATCAAAACCACAAGGAGATACCACTTCATACCCACTAGGATGGCAACAGCTAGAGTCAAAAAGAGATGATAAGTATTAGCAAGGATGTGGAGAAACTGGAGACCTCATACGTTGCTGGTGGGGATGTAAAACAATGCTACTGTTTCAGAAAACACTCTGGCAGTTTCTCAAAAGGTTAAACAGAGTTACTATACGACCCACCAATTCCACTCCGAGGCATATACCCAAGAGAAATGAAAACATATGTCTACACAGAAGCTTGTACATGAATGTTCATAACAGCATTATTCATAATAGTCAAAAGGTGGAAACCACCGAAATGTCCATGAACTGATGAATGGATAAATAAAAAGTGGTATGTTCATGCAATGGAATGTTATTTGGCAACAAAAATGAATCAAGGACTGATACATGCTAAAACAGGGATGAACTCTGAAAACATTATGCCAAATGAAAGAAGCCAGTCACAAAGGACCGCATATTATATGATTCCATTCATATGAAATGTCCAGAATAGGCAAACCCATAGAGATAGAAGTAAATTGGTGGTTGCCTAGGACTGGGGGAATTGGGGGAAAATGGAAAGTGACTGCTAATGGGTGCAGGGTTTCTTTTGGGAGTGATTAAAACATAAAATCGTGGTGATGGCTGCACAGATCTGTGAAAATACTAAAAATTATTGTACACTTTAAATTGGTTACTTGTATATTTATATATCAATAAAGTTCTTTAAAAAAAAAGAACTATGCTGGGCACAGAAGTATACTCCTGTTCTCAAAGTATTATGTCATGGCAGAGACAAACATAAACATTATGAATTTAAAAAGTGCTATGGTATAGACATGTATGAAGTGTTATGTAAGCACACAGAGTAGGACATCTGAGCCCAAATGAAGAATGTTAAGATGTTTTCCTCCTATAGAAAATGATGCATGAGCTGATTTCTTGAAAAATGAGCCAGGAAAAGTGAGGTAGAACAGCAAAGACACAGGTTTGTGCTCAATACAAGAATGAAGAGAAGTAGGAGCAATCTGGTGTTTCAATATAATCTGCAAAGTACAAGGAGGGGAGTGCCCAGCCCAAGTAGCTCTGGTAATAAACTAACAAAAGAACAATTCATAATTGCACTCTTAGTTACATCTAAAAATTCCAAGAAGGACTCTTAAGAAGGCTTTAACCAAGGAGGTGACAGCTGAACTGGGTCTTGAAACCTGATAAAAATCTTACCAGTGAAACAGTGAAGTTCACTAGGGGAGAGGAGCAAAGAGGAGATAAAGAACTTGTATTCAGAGTACTGTGAGTAATTCCCTCCAACTGGACTGCAGTGTCAGGACATGAGACCAGAAAAATTGGTAGATCTGAAGTTACAGAGGTTCTTATATAATAATAACTAACATAAATGTAAGCCCATGTACTTTATCCATTATCCCATTTAATCCTAGCATGGCCATTCTACAGTTTAAGGAAGCGGAAATATAGGAAAGTAAAGGAACTTGTCCAAGGTTACACTAGTAAGTGTAACAACTGGGTTTTGAACCTAACAGTTCAAACCGGAGGCCACAAGCTTAAGCTGTTCTCTATCTAACACACCAAGCCCTCTGGATTTAATCTCACCAGCACAGTGAGCCCTTGGAAAGTTTTTTCAGCAGTTGCTGTTTGGTTTCTTTATCTTTTCTTCCTAATGGCCACGGCTTTCTCTTTTTGGGAGAGCAGAGGGAAAATGCAGAGGGGAATTTGGCTCCAGAAAACTCTTCCGATTATTCTCCCTCTTTAGGACGTCCTGAATCCAATCTGAATCTCAAGCGTCTTTGGCATTTAGGGGCTTCATCACTATGATCGTACTGCCATTTACGTAAGAATTTATTACTTTAAAACCTCAAGGGCTTATTTTGTGTTTTCAACTTGCCTATGTTGGTAAAGCAAGTAGTAGCATCCTTATTTACAGATAGCAAAGAGGAAGTTTAGGGAGACCAAAGGATCGGGCAAAACACATCTCTGGGCCGCAATTTCTTTACCTGTAAAATGAGGTGGTTGAACTACGTTATTTTTTTGCAACAACAAAACATTTCTCATTCTAGATCTGCTCAGAGTTGGGAAGCCATTCTGAAGCAAAATCTGTTTCATAACTCAGATGTACCTCTATAGATCATTGTGGGGAAATAAAGTCCGGCGCCGGCAACCAGGACGGGTTGAGCACAAAATCGCCCCACCTCAGCCCCAGCTCTGCGCGGGGGCAGCAGAAAGGCGAGTACCGTGCAGAGGCGGAACGGATTTTGCGGGCGGTGGGGACGCGTTTTTGGAACGGACCGGGGAAAGGAAGTGTGCAACACCCTCGGGAGTACCCATTCCTGGCTGCCGCGGGGACAGTGGGGTTTTCGCGAAGAGTCTGCCTGGAGCGGGCCTGAGACTTTGGGTCTCCGGTGACGGGCGGAGGGAGCTGCAGGCTCTGGATCTGCTTGTTTCGGCGGCAGACGGAGCGGGCTGACCTTGGCCGCTGCTCTTACTGACCTTGGCCCAGGGTCAGAGCCGATGGCGGCTTGGGCCACCTTCAGCCTGAACCGGGCCGCTGCCCCATGCTTGCGGGCGCGAGGCCTTGGGGTCCAGGTCCCCCGGGCCTCCCAGCCTGAGCCCCCGGACTGTAGCCCCGCTGGGGGTCGGACGCTGCACCTCACCGCGGCTGTCCCCGCTGGGCACAACAAGTGGTCCAAAGTCCGTCACATCAAGGGTCCTAAGGACACCGAAAGGAGTCGCATCTTTTCTAAGCTCAGTTTGAGCATTCGCCTAGCGATTAAAGGTGAGAACCTGACGGTCACCCACCGCTGGCCTCCACTGTCCTCACTGTGCCCATGGCCTCGCTTGCCTCCGGGAGTTGGACCAGGGCCCATCCGGATGCTCTGCTGTTCATTCAGAGTGAATTAAAAACTTTCCCGAAATATTAATCTATATCCCATTCAAACACTGGATAGAGTGTTCTAAACTAACCAAGGGCTAAGTGGTGAGTTGTCACTCTTTGGCTGATGGGGATGGGGGCGGAGAGGGGAGAGGGAAGTGCCTTTTTTCTCCCATGTCATAATGAGATGTCTTTGCTTACTCTTTTCGATCTCAGAAGGAGGTCCCAACCCTGAGCTCAACAGCAGTCTGGCCAGCATCTTAGAGGTGTGTCGCAGCAAGCACATGCCCAAGTCAACAATTGAGGGAGCGCTGAAAATGGAGGTGTGTCCTCAGTTTGACATCCTTGTTACTGCTCACAGCCCCAACAGGGCACCCCATGTCTAGAATGCCATCACATACTCTTTAAATTAAGAGAGAAGGGTCACAGTGTGGTTGACACCCTCGACCCAGAGCCTTCTGATGACTCTCAGCCATTGGTTATGGGAGCACAGTCAGGAATAGGTTGTATAGATAAGGTGCAGGACCATACTGCCTAGGACTGTTGAGCTGAATTGTGAGGAGATGGGGTAAAAAGAAGGGGCACATTATGGGGAAAGCCCTGATGTTAAATTGAGGAAGCCTTTGTTTTTCTAATATTTATGCCTTGAAGGAGAAAGATAGAGGGTGCAGATGATAGTGATGGTGAGAGGGTCTGGGATGTAGAGCCTAGGTGTGGGTGTTGTCTTCAGAGCCCAGGTAAGGGGACACCTCTTCCCTGGGATGAGTGGGAAGGATCTGAGGAAGTAATCATCTTAATAGCTAAAAGTTACTGAGTGTTTACTCCAGGCCAAGCACTTGATAAGAACTTTGTATACGTTATCTTACTGAATCCTCAGAACAACCTTAAGTGGACACTGAGGCACAGAAAGATGAGGCGACTTGACCAAGTCACACAGAAAATGACAGACTTGGCACCATACACACTTCAGAGCCTATGCTCTAACCATGGTACATACTGCCTTCCCGTCAGCCCTGGTACAGGTGAGGTGGTGGAGGCAGAGGATTTTCCCCGACCTGTGGGTCCTTTATTTCCTTTGTGAAAGCAGAAAGAGGTCATCAGTTGAGAGTTCCTGGGAAGACAGCAGGGCAATGTGATGGCGAGAGTGATGAAGATCGGATACATGGACAAGGGATGAGCGGAGGTGGTATGGGAGGTCCGAATGAGATTGGTCATTAGAGTTTTTGATTGACTGAATTTGGAGGTCATGCTATTTGATAAGGCTCAGATGTGTGATTTCATGTACCAGTACTCAGCAGCCTAGGAGCACAGGTATGTTTCCCTTGGGATAAGATGTGGGAGGATGAGTTATAGTGGGCGTGATGGAGGGGTAGGTGTGGGATTCAGCTGGGGAGGGGAGGAAATAAAGTTGGGAGATGGCTGACTGATTGTTCAGGGACAGGAGAAACAGACTCCCTCCCAAGTACTTCCAATTACACCAAAAGTTGGCCCCAAGGGCCTCCTCTAAGAGGGTGAGAACAAAAATAAAGACTTAAGAGCCTAGGCTCCAGCTCAGAGAGCCCATCCCATGGAGTCAACTTTGTGGTGCCTATGGTTCTGGGCTGGCATGTAGGAGGGGATTAGGAAACAGGAAAATGTGCTTGTGTTGTTTATTGCAGAAAACCAAGGACATTTATTTGTTGTATGAGGGCCGAGGCCCTGGTGGCTCTTCTCTTCTCATTGAGGCTTTATCTAACAGTGGCTCCAAGTGCCAGTCGGACATCAGACGTATCCTGAATAAGAATGGGTAGGTGTGTGTCTGGGGGGAGTGGAAGCGGACAGAACCTTTAGGTTCCAATTGTGTGTAAGGAAAGTACTGTTGTTCCTGGTGGTATTCCGAGTTTTACACACACTTCATCCTTAACAGAGTTCAAATGGGATAATTTATTCTCCCTTAACGTGTTCTGTACTAGACAGGATCCAAAAGGATCCAGTGAGGAAGGACCTCCGTGTCCCATTATCTTATGTAGTCATATAATGTCCTGGTCTTAAAATGTTCCACCAGAAATGGAATCTTAATTGCATGGGAATTGATGAACAAAGTCTTTGCCTTCTCCAAACTCCAGTCAGCGCAGAAAATAGAGGGTGGATTATGTTTGAATTGTTTCCTGGCGCAATGGTAGCTGCATCTTCTTCAGGAAGAGAGCTGCTCCATGTCTGTATTCACTCCAGGGGCTGGGTGGGAATGATGCTGTGCAGTGCTGTGTGGAGGCTGAGTGTCTAAAGGCATTCGTTCTGGCCCATTCATTTCCTTTCCTATTAGGGGAATGATGGCTGAAGGAGCTCGCCACTCCTTTGACAAAAAGGGGGTGATTGTGGTTGGAGTGGAGGACAGAGAGAAGAAAGCTGTGAACCTAGAGCGTGCCCTGGAGCTGGCAATCGAAGCAGGAGCTGAGGATGTCAAGGAAACTGAAGATGAAGAGGAAAATAACATTTTTAAAGTGAGTATGTGTTTAGTGGACTTCCAAGAGGGCCCTAAGAGACACGTTAAGTCATTTTTCTCCCAGTTTCTTCTTTCCTGCACCCGGGGTACAGATGAGGTAAAGAGCTCACCTATTGCACAAACATTTATTAAGTGATTGCTGGATAGTGCTTACTCTTCTGAGGACAATGAGAAGGATTCAGAATACCTGAAACTTCATCTCTGCCAGTGAAGACTTAAACCCAGTGATATATTACATCCACTAGGTTTTACAAAGTTCTGTCTGGCTTTGTCCTGTTATCTCCTGGCTCCTCACCTCCTTACTTTCTTTTGTCCCTAGTTTATTTGCGATGCTTCTTTACTGCATCAAGTGAGGAAGAAGCTGGACTCCCTGGGCCTGTGTTCTGTGTCCTGTGCGCTAGAGTTCATCCCCAACACAAAGGTGCGACTGGCTGACCCTGACCTGGAACAGGCTGCCCAGCTCATCCAGGCTCTTGGCAACCATGATGACGTGATCCACGTCTATGACAACATTGAGTAACCTGGGTGCACATGCCCTCAAGCTCCTTCCCAGGCAACTGGCAGCCTACTCTGGATCACAAACTTCTGCAGCGTCCTCTGAGACTCAGGCAGGTTGGTTGGGGTGGCGGGAGTCTAACAGGTTAGGAGGCATAAGACCTGCAGCTCTGTGGTCAAGGAAATCCCTGCACTTCCGTGAGGCCTCTTAGCTCTGCGGGTGTCTCAGAACCCTCCTGGATGAGTCCGTCCCCATTCTTTTGGATGCAGGATGTGGCCAGTAGTTAGTCAGACTCCGATCTCAGGAAGTTGGCCCTTGTGGGGATGGTAGGTGCCCCGAGGGCCCATGTACTAGAAACTGCTCTTAAATAATAACAGTGATTGACCGGGGTTGCTGCTCCGCTGCTGGATGGCTCTTGAGTTTTCTTGGGTTTGTGTCCAGTTGTTGGGACCCTCTTGACTTTCTTTCAAGTCTATAGGCTTAGTTCCACTATTCCAATCCCAAGACGTTTTTGGTAAGCCTTAGAAATGAGCTCTCTCTTGCTACTTTGTGCTCTAGTGCTGGTCTAATGGTCTAAACCTGTCACTCATTCACACAATTAATAATTATCAAACACCTATTATGTACCAGGGACTGTACTTAAGAAGAGTACAAGCTGTTCAGTTGATGCCCTGTGTTAGATCCTGCTCTAAGACACAGAACCTCACAGGGAAGACACAGGATTGCACTCTACTGGAGCTGTGCCAGGGCAGTGTGAGCTGCTGTGCATGTATCCTTGTCCTCTTCGTGGAGCCTCTCTGCCCTGCCAGAGAGTAAGGCCCAAGCCCACTAGGAAATCAAATGCCAATGATAAGGGACTCTCAGGCCCTGCTTTGCCTGAGTCACTGTGTGTTCTGAGACTGGTCAGAGTGGACCTGTCAGTGGGGTGCACTCAGGAAAGGCCGTACCAAGCTGGTTTTGAAAGATGCTTGATCCCCAGAATGCCCAACCCTAGCTCCTTTTCATCCCTGATGCCAGATGGTGGGGCACTGGGGACTGGAGAGGAACTGAGAACAGAAGGAAGGGTGAAGGGCTGAGTCAGAAGCCTGGCCAGGTGGGAAAAAAGTAAGACCTTGTGTCTTTTGCTCCTAAGTGTTACTTCTGGGTTTAGAGAGACCAGGAGTGCCAACCACCTGTGCTGGAGCCCGTCAAGCATGTCGGGCCTGGAGTGGCTTTTTGATCCCTGTTATTCACCTATTTATAAGTTGTTTATGCCAGTTCTAAGCTCAGAGTAATTTTCCTGAATGTGCCTAAGGTAAATTAGGATAAAAACAACTAAAACCAAATTGGCTATAAATGATAATTTCACCGTGTAGGAAAAACAGATTACTAATTTGATGATGACTGGAGGGTGAAGGCTAGGGGGAGGAAAACCAATTAAATAATCCACTATCGTGCCAAAGCATAGGTTTTTATGCCTCATTTCATATCAGGATAGATACTAGGAGATTCTTTAGTTTTTATAGGAGATTATCTAAATATCTGAACAGCACATCATAAAATAGGGCAACGTAAAGTTTAAATGCCACTTCATAGTTTATAAGATAGTTTCATATTTTATTTATTTGATTTTTAAAACAAGTTCAAGTGCTTTATGCACAGATGATCTCATACCAAGCCGGTGAGAAATACATCTTGTATTGATAGACCTTGGTTTATAAAATAGCTCTGTTTTGTAAATGTTCAATAAAAATTAACCTGAAGGAATGTGATCATTTCTGATTTGAGAAGTTTGTACTAAGGAAGCCTGCTCTAGAAGGGAACTTGGTTACTCATGTGAATAATCCTCTAATCTAATAGATAGGATTTGTTTATATGAATTCTTGTGTAACCAGTTTTCGTACATCAAAGCATACTAGGCAGCTCTGTACTGACCCCTGGCGGTGCCATGCAGTCTTCCCTGCAGTTAATATGGGAAAGGCAGGAATGAAAGCTTACTTGTATCTGATCTGCCTCTAGATCTGGTAAAGAGACCTTTAGCTACATAGATTAAATAGTTAAGTAACTATTTAACTGAATAGTTAAGTAAAGAGGATATGAGTTATTCTGCCACTAGAATTATTTTTCAAAGAATATTTTATGTCAGAAAATGTGTGTAATATGTTAAGTGAAAAACAAAGATGCAAAACTATTTCTATCTATCTATTTATCTATAAAGTATGATCCAAAAATTTTTAATATGTATCATACTGTATATATGAAGTTCAAAAAAAAAGTCTAGAAGGAAGTATACCAAAATGTCAAAACTGGTTATCTCTGGGTGGGGATGTTATAACTGAGTTTTATTTTCTGTGGTCATGGATTACTTTTATCATGGGAAACATTTTTTAAAAAAGGAAAACTAGTCACATTATTGTCCAGCTAGGGAGACAGCATGTGAGAGGCCGAGAGTAGGTGTACCTTAAAGTCAAAAAAGAAAGGGGTCTATTCCTGGCTTGCCTTTGCCTTATCTTTAGTCATTGTCTTAGCAACACAAAATCATTTAGCACCTTGCAGCTGGCTCAGGCTCACTTTCAAGTGTCCTCTCAGTGGGATGGGGTACTAGTGACAGGCTCTGTCCACAGCCTTGACTCTTACAAGAAGTGTTCAGTTGGTACGTAGCTGCCGCACCTCTGCCAGGGTCCCTGGGTGAATGAAACAGGTGCAGTGAAGGCTCTGCCTCCAGCAGCCATGGAAATTCAGCCATGTGGTTGAGTTACCATAGCAATTAGTAAAGCTCCATACTCTAATAAGAGTCCCCAGCTTCTGAATCCCAGGGGACTCCTGGAGACATTCTGTGAAGAGAAAATAAATGAGCCAGTAGGTCTGGCAAAAGAGGGTGTCGTGATAGATAACACACTAGTCTTGACTGAAATCAATTTCTTTGTTCTAACCGAAGAAGCAGTTTTTACTTTTTCCTCTTTTTTTTTTTTTTGGTTTGTACCAAAAAGGTAATATTTATTGTTTTTTAAAAAGTAAGACCTTATAGAAATATATAACAAAAAGATAAAAAGTCTCATCTAATCCTGCCTCCTAAAATAAAACCGCTATTAACAACCTACTCTACTCACTGGTACCAGTCTGCCAGGAAACACATTCTGACTCTGCCAATTGCTAGCAACCTTGGGCAAGAACTTAAGCTCTTTGTACCTATTTCTTCATCCATAAAATGGGGATAATAGTACCTATTTCATAGGGCTGTTTTGAGAATTAAGTGAGTTAATATATGTTAAACCCTTAAAACAATACCTGGCAATAGTAAGTGTTCAGTAAATGTTGGCCTTTTTCCCCCTAGTAAGTATGAATGAGCATTTTAAAAACTGAGATGTGATCACCCTATACATACCTGTTTATAGCCTGTCTCACCCACCCCTGCTTCCCCCCTCCCCCACCCCCGATTCTCCACCAAGGTATATCCTGGATATCTTTTGGTATTAGATTGGAGAGATCTGCTTCATTCTTTCTGGTAGCTACATAGTATTTTGTTGTATTAATTATTGTGCCATGATTTATTTAACTAGTCTCTGTCAGTGGACATTTGGGTTATCATTCTTACAAAAGATGCTACATGAATATTTTTTACCTTTCCTCTCTTGCAAAATATTCTTTAGGATAAATTTATAGAGGTGGAATTTTAGAATGAAAAGATGGGGAGAAAAATAGCTCAGTGGTAGGGCACATGCCTAGCATGCCTGGGTTCAATCCCTGGTACCGCCATTAAAAAAAAAATGACTCAGCATGATTAAAAAAAAATCAAAATGAAAAGCAATTTTTCTATAGAAGTAAATGTCACTAATATATAAAAATGTAAACAAGATATAAAAATCTCTATTTACATTATTCCTTAACAATGCAGGTAAACTAATTGGTTGAACTGGTAATCTGAATATATTCCACTTTACCTCTGAATTTAAAAGAATTTTATCAAATCAGGTGGTAGGTTTATTGGCTTGTTTTCTTTTTTACAGCAAATTCATTGAGCTAGCTCTTAAGGGAATTTATTCATTTGTATTGTTCCCTGTCCTGCGCTCTTGAAGGAAGAAAGGGAAAGTGTGCAGCTGATGTGTGACTGGCCACCTAATGGGACCAGCATTTCTGAGGCCCTAAGCACTAGGAGCAGGGATGACTTAGATGTTTAACCAGGGGCATCTACTCAGTGTAAAACTAGGGGAACAGACTTGAGAAAGCCTGGCCCAGTTTGGAGGTTTCACTTGGGGAAAATGAGGAGAGAAACAGTATAGAGAAGATAAAACATATAGCTAAAAGGGCATATCTGTGGAAATTGCATTCAGTTACTAACATCCCCTCTTGAGGTTCACTTATTCTGTAAACAAATACTTGTTTTTTGAATGTTCTATGAAAGATGCTAGACATACCATTTTGAATGACACAGCTTCTGTCTTTATGCTTACTTTCTTACTTGTTTTTTTTCTGTGGGGGGAGGTAATTAGGTTTATTTGTTTATTTTTATTATTTTTTAATGGAGGTTCTATACTGGGAATGGAACCCAGGACCTCATGCATGCTAACCATGCGCTCTACCACTGAGCTGTATCCTCCCGCCCATGCTTACTTTCTTAAAGGCAGTTACAGTAGAGTAGGACAAGTGCTTTGATGGAGAAAGTACTAGGTGCTCTGCTACCCAGATTTAGGGGCACCTGTCTAGAAAGACTCCCTGAGAGGAGCAATATTTAGGCTTATTTCTTCCCTGAAAGAATTGGGGGTGGGGCAAGAATGAAGGAGAGATGTGTTTGAGACAGAGAAAACAGCAGATGCTTAGTTAGAAGCAAGAGAGAGTCATATTTGTGGAACTGCTGGTAGTTCTCTGTGGCCAGAACATAGAATGTGATTGATGGGATTGGTGGAGGTGGGAAATGGAAAAACTTGTGGCTGGAGAAGGAATGGCCTGGGTCCTGAAGGGCCTTCTTAGCTACATTCACATATTCGACTTATCCCAAGGATGATGGGAAACTAAAAATTTTTAAGCAGAGCATGACTGGATCAGGTGTTTGTTTTAAAAAGATCACCCTGTAATGTGAGCACACACTGGGAGGCTGTTATAGTTAGTAATCCAAATAGGAGATTATGATGGTATGAATCAGGCTGGCGGAGCTGGGGTCAGAGGAGGAGTGGACGGATTGGAGACATGGTCACGATTAGCAGTGGGGGAGGGGAAATGAAGAGGAAGAGCTCTCCAAGTTAGATAACTCAAAAGCACCCAACTTGAGGAAATGAAAATGGAGAGAGGAAATGCCTCTGAAGCTCAGAAGAGAGTCCAGTATGGTAACTGCAGCATGGGAATTTTTGAGATGGCTGGTTAAGGGACAGAAAATGGAAATGAAGCCCTCAAGGAAAGCAGTTGCTGGGAAGGCAGAAGAAAAATCAGAAGGCGCTTTTCAGCTAAAAGCTTACTGTAGTTGTATTACAGTTCTCTCCTATGTGCAAGGCACTATTCTAAGTGCTGATGATAGAGCAGTGAACAGGACAAAATCCCTGCTCCTACAAGGCTTACGTTCACTGTAGCTGGAGGAAAGACACATCAGTATATAATTTCAGGCACTGTGAAGAAAAATAAGGCAGAATATGGAAATACTGAATGGAAATACAGAATGATGGAGGGGAGAGAGGGTATTTTGGTTGGGGTGGTAGGGCACTCTTAAGAGTTGACATTTGAGCAGAGACCTGAACGAAATGCAGAAATTAGCAATGGGAGCATGTTGGGGAAGATCATTCCAGGCAGAACAAATGGCAAGTGCAAAGGTCCTGAGGTGAAAGGTCCTGAGCTTGGTAGGTTCAAAGTATGCTAAGAAGGCCAGTGTGGCTGGAGGATAGTGATTGAGGGAGTAGGAGAGATGAAGTAGGAAAGGTTGGCTGGGGCTAGCTCCTGTTGGGCCTGGAAGGCCATAATAGAGAGTTTGGGATTTATTCTGAGTGTGATGGGATGCCATTGGAGGGTTGACATCAGAGGAGTGACATGATCTGAATTACATTTTATAAGGATCACTCTGGCTGCTGTGTGGAGAATCATTTGTTGCATGGCCCCAGAAGAAACAAGGAGACAAGTTAGGAGGCTAGGACCGTCATCCAGTAAAGAGGGTGGCAGGTTGCACAAGGTTGGAAGTGGTGAGTAGTTGGATTCAGACACATTTTGAAACAAGAGCCAAAAAGCCTTGATGATTGGATATAGGAATGTTAGTGAAAGAGTAAAATCAAGGAATACTTCTCCTAGGTTTGTATTTTAACAACTGGGAAAATAGAGGAGCAAAGTTTTTTGGGGGTAGGGGAAAAGAATCAAGAGTTCAGTATAAAATACGTTAAATTGAAGTTGTGTTTTAGACATTCCAAGAGAAGCTGCTGAATAAACCTTTGAATACAGACAATGGAGTGGGTACTAGATTTCCGCTAGCATAATTGTGTCTTTTTAAAAATATCTCACAGCTCGGTAAAATTAAGGGTCAGCTCTCAGCCTCAGGTTGGCAGATTGTGACCTCTAGTAGTGGCTTATTACACACAGTCTCAACAGGGTGATATCCCCAACAGGGCAAAAAATGATTCTAAAAAGGTGAAAAAAAATCTTAATGGAATGTGGCCTTCAAAGCTCAACCCTATTTGACAAAATCTTCCTTAGTATTTAATTTCTCTCATTAGGGAGAATTTTTTAAAATTGAAGTATAGTGGATTTGCAATGTTGTGTTAGTTTCGGGTATACAGCAAAGTGATTCAATTATACACAC